CCCTTTAAGCATCTGAACACACACTCTACCACCATGTGGCACTGCTAAGCCTATCATTGAAGTGCACTTTGGTGGGATCCAAGCTACCTGAGTATGGATTCATGAGACAGAGGAGCAAGGGGCAGGCTGCGTCGCCCAGGATCATGATGGGCATGTCCACCTCTCTGACTCTGATGGCAATCGGGGAAAAAAGTGCCAGTATACATCTTTTCGAACAGGCAGGAGTTCTAATAGATACGGGCATCATACATCTTCCAGGTGACGCTGATACTGATGTTGGTGAAGCATCCCTTGTGATCCATGAGGACTTGCAGCACCATGGAATGCAGTACCCATTCCTGTTTATGTAGTCCAAGGCATGGCAGTTGGGAGCCAGGATGGGGATATGTGAGCCATATGTGGCCACCCCACAGTTGGTGAAGCCCATGGCAGCAAAGCCATCCACAATGGTGGCCATGATGCCCAGAGTGATGACCCCCCATAGCAGCACATGGTTGATGGCCTTGGCTACCTGCACAAGCACAGCCTTGACTGTGGATTTCCCCTCGCCAAACTGGTTCCCAACTGAGCAGTAGCTTTCTGGTGTGGCAAGCTTCCACAGGGAAATGGTGACACGATTCTACAGGGGGATGATGGGTCACAGTCGGGTGTCCTATTGCCTGAGGGCAGGGGTGAGCCACTCACAGAGCTCAAGGAAGGTGGCCTTCTGCATGCAAAAGTTCTGCAGCTACTGCGGGTTGTCCCAGAGCTGCAGGATGACGAGGTCCCAACAGTTCGAACTGGTCCCCCGCCACCAGAAGCGTCATTCTGTGGTGTCCCAGAGATCCCCCCATAGCAGCACATGGTTGATGGCCTTGGCTACCTGCACAAGCACAGCCTTGACTGTGGATTTCCCCTCGCCAAACTGGTTCCCAACTGAGCAGTAGCTTTCTGGTGTGGCAAGCTTCCACAGGGAAATGGTGACACGATTCTACAGGGGGATGATGGGTCACAGTCGGGTGTCCTATTGCCTGAGGGCAGGGGTGAGCCACTCACAGAGCTCAAGGAAGGTGGCCTTCTGCATGCAAAAGTTCTGCAGCTACTGCGGGTTGTCCCAGAGCTGCAGGATGACGAGGTCCCAACAGTTCGAACTGGTCCCCCGCCACCAGAAGCGTCATTCTGTGGTGTCCCAGAGATTCAGGGGTATTTACAGCAGCAGGAGCACCAGGACATAGGTGGTGTGAGCTGGCCCTCATCCTGGTGGAATAGCAAATGAGCAGTTTGGAAGTCCTGCGCCATGAGGTACTGCACGAGGCCCACGAGCCTAGCACTGCTTTGCAACAGCTCCAGCTCCTTGGCGTGAGTACTGTGGCATCCACAAGGGCAACCAGAGCACACTGTGTCCATTTTGTGTCCAGCGGAGGAATGGCGTGTGAGACACAGCCATACAGAGAAGTCCCTGTAAGCATGTATTGCAGCCCCCCCAGAGTGCTTCTGGGTGCTCTAAGTCTGAGGCAGCCTCCAGTCATTGTGGGCACACTATTTCAATCTCCTCCATTGTGGGGAGATGCTATTTTGATTTTGTTATTTCGAGAGTTATTATTTCTATTTTACTTATTTCGGACTAATGTGTAGACATGCCCTGACTTGAGTTCGGCAGTTAAATTATATGCATAGCTGTGTGTGTATGCTGGAAACAGTGTCCTAGGTTGAAATGGTATCTGGACATCAAGGAAGATGAAAGAGTGCAGAATTCATAGAGGGAAAAATACTTTCTGTGACATGTTTTTGAGTCTAGAAACTTGACTGCTGTTACTTGAACAGGGAGGGGAGAAAAAGAATTGTAACAAATTTTATCCAGCTCAGTCTCATTGCATTCTACAGAAGTACTTACTAGAAAGTTTCCACTGGAGAGCTGGACTTTGGTAAGAAGGGAGCAAGTCAATCTTTTCCAAGATCATTCCAGGGTTGTGTCACACACTGTAACTTGGTGAATAAAGTCTTTTTGACTAAAAAGCTTGATGTATTATTCATTCTTGTCCATGCTCTCATAGGGTATGTCTACACTACCCCGCTAGTTCGAACTAGCGGGGTAATGTATGCATACCGAACTTGCTAATGAAGCCCGGGATTTGAATAAGCCCGGGATTTGAATTTCCCGGGCTTCATTAGCATAAAGCCGGCGCCGCCATTTTTAAAAGCCGGCTAGTGCGAACCCCGTGCCGCGCGGCTACACGCGGCACGGGCTAGCTAGTTCGAACTAGCTAGCTATTCCGAACTATCTGTACGCCTCGTGGAATTCAAATCCCGGGCTTCATTAGCAAGTTCGGTATGCATACATTACCCCGCTAGTTCGAACTAGGGGGGTAGTGTAGACATACCCATGATTTTCCACTAGGTGCTAAATTTGTATTACAAACTAAAAGGAAAAGAATCAACTGATTCAATTTTACCATTTCCACTTCAGGATAGGCTACTATCAGCACCAGGGGCATAGATTGGGGTGGTATATTGTTGTGTCCTCCCCCTCCCCCTGCAACTGTATACACTGATGTTTTATTAGCTTATAGTTCAGATTTTTAAAAAACACTTTCTACACACCTGCAATTCCTAATGTTAGATAGAGCCCTGCAGTGGGACTGGGATGCCATGGGTCCTCTGGACCCACTGCCATAATAGCAGGCACAAAATAAAAATCCAAGAAACAATCGGGGAGCAGATGGCAGTGCATATTGTGGGGTGGAGGGGTAGGGGCAGGATTAAAAATATAATCCTTCCATGCTGTAAATACATGAATATCTTGCCATCAGCTACCATTTTCAACCACTCAGCTCTGAACTTTTGCTAGTGGTAGCAGTGCCCCGGCCTCCAAATATAGAAGTCAAATTATGCTTATGATCAGGGCGGCCCGTGGACGTAGGCAGCCTCGGCAATTGATGACGTCACGCCATTGAGGGCAATGGAGGCAGGGGTGCCGATCGCACATTCCGCTTAAGGCGTCAGTTGCCGGCAGCTCTCCTCGAGCCACTCCTGCTTATGATTGACAGCTACCATTTTATGAAAGCTAGTGTGAGAGAGGCTGGTTCAGTATTTATGAAAACAAGTTTACACAGTCAGTGATAATTATTGCTATGCTCCCTGGTTTGGCACCCTCTGGCAGCAGGAGAGGGGTTGGCATTGACAGAGTGAGGTCAGGGGGCTGCTTGGGGGAAGAGGCTGCATCCCCAGTCAGTTTGTCAGAATCTGGGAATGAGCAAACAGGACACAGCACAGGTTGAAGGCAAAGGGGGAATGGGTGAAGAGTCCAGGGAGGCAGTGGGCTCAGGGAATGATGTGGGAAGCACAATGAGATGGCAGGAGCTGGGGGCAATAGAGGGGACAGTGTGGAGCCCAGGAAGGCAGTAGGAAATGAGGCATTCGAGGGTGGGTTGGAATCCAGAGAGTCAGTGGGGCTGGGGACATCAATATGCAAGTATACTCAGGACACAATTTTCCCTATGGCCCCCTGGCTTTGTCAATAGTCTGAAGATTTGGGATTTTAAGTCTTGTATGGATTGGACATGAGAAATGGGCTATGTCTAGGACTTTTAGTAATAAACTGGTCCCACAGGAGCGAAGTATTAAGGCAAAGAGAATTATTGTGGCGTTACTAGGGATTCTGAAAAGAAAACTTAAGCAGTCACTTGATCTGTCACAAAAGGATGCTTCAGAGAGGTCTGCCTTATTACAGGTGTTTTAGGGGGCAGTGAAACTATTTGCATTTTGGGACAAATTCAGCACCAGCAAATATTTGTGGTTGAAAAAATATGGAGAAGAAACATTTCAGAAATGTCAAAAGGTTTTATTTTGACATATTTCCAAATAGACTGAATTGTTGAAGTTGATTCAAATACAAATTTTGTTACTCCAAGAAAAAATCCAATTTTGTTTTGAAACTAATCAAAATATTTATATATTTTTTAATTTTGGTTTGCTCACCAAATCAAAAAATCAATATTTTGCTCAGCCCTACTAAGCGGGACGTGCCACCGACCTTGCAGATTTGGCACCAAATATGCTTTATTGGACTGGGAATGGAAAAGTTGGGGAAAGAATATACCAGGCGTTTAACTGATGTCAAATTATATTTTCTTAACAGTTGATCTTTCGATGTGTGTGGACATATATCCACGAACAGCTTTGGGGTACTGAATGGGTCCTCCTCTAGAATCCCATGAAGCTGCTCACAGAAGTGGCATGTCTGCAGCTCTGACCCAGACCATTTGTTTTTCTCTTTTGTCTTCTGTTTTTAAAGTGGAGCTTTCAAAAGTAAAAACAGTCGGGATGTGGCTTTTTCGGCAAGCCCCCCTCTTTTCAAAAAGCCACATAAACCTCATTTTGGGAGGCTGCTGTGCAAGTGGGTCCCAGTTCCCTGTGGACAGAGGCTGCTCTGTGGAATGCATGGTTCCATGGAGGCACATGGATACAGAGGTGAATACTGAGGCAGCAGGCTACTGGCTACAGGCCCCACCCACGGGGACTATCAAAGAATTGTGTAACTGCTAAAAGTTGATGCAGTTATACAACTATTCAATTACACGCTCTCACCCCTAGCTCTCATTGCAAATATTAATACAATATTTATTGGCACTGGAAAGGAGAGTAAACTGCATGGAATTTGCATGCAATCTTCCGTGTGGTCTAGACATAGCCTAACTGCCCTTAAAATTGGCGCAATGGGATTGGTGGTGTAGACTCATTTTTGAAAAAATTGACCTAATGCAGCTAAGTTTGATCTTAACTCGCAGTGTTGACCAGGCCTTAGTATTTCAAATTGTCCTCAAGGGAAAGGATATGAAAGCCATGTTTGATCAACAAGTTCTGCCGCAGATAAAAATTGTATGTTTTCTAATTTAGTTCATTCATTACTAGGCAAGTTAAAAGCACATGTTCACTCATGCAAGGGGCCCCACTGAAGGCAACAGGTATGTACACGTGAAGAAACTTTGCATAATTAGAAGATTGCAGGATTCAATCCTATATTAGCAAAGACAAACAACTAGACATTGTGCAATAATTCAGATATGAAAAGGTAACGGAGTGATTAATGCAGAGGAGGTACACCTACTGTTAACAATATATAGCAGTTAGTAGACAAAATCTTCCTGCATTTAGGAAATCAGATTGCAGGGTCAATGAGCTAGCGGCAAGGGCTGCTGAGTAAATGAAAGAGCTGCTGCACTGTGGAACCTGATGTGGGGAAAACACAAGCAAATTTTTCTGTGCAGAGAAGTCACTGTCCCCCAGGAGGAGCAAACGGAATCGATTCTAGAAGAAACATGTGAGTAATGAAAAAGATTTGTAAACTGGGAAGGTGGGTTAGCTGAGAGACACCACACTAGAGGCTCTCAGATTTTATCTTAACCCATCTTCAGGGTAATGTAATCTAATACAAAACAAACAAACCCCTATACTAGTGCAAGGATTAGATTACTCTACTTAGAACTCAGAAATCAGGACATGCAAATATTATGGTTGACTATGCAGCCTCAACTCTGCTTAATTCATCTTCATAATATTTCTTTCTCCAGTAAATATGTATATGTAATGTCTCAATTTATTCAAAGGTAAGTGAGACAGCTTACATAAATAGGGTTGCCAGGTGTCTGGTTTCGAACCGGACAGTCTAGTATTTGAGCTTTCTGTTCGGGAAACAAACTGAGAAAATACAAACGAGAAAATATAAATGTTCGGTATTTTCTAAATACGATGTAATGTAGATTGTGATGTAATGTTAAGTGTGTCCAGTATTTTTGTTGAAACCATCTGGCAACCCTATACTTAAACAGGATCAATGCCTTCTGCACTGTGGGTAGTATGCAGACATTGGGAGGTGTGAGTGGAGAAGCTATTAAGGAGAAGACAGTTTCTATCACCTAAATACTGTCAGTGTGAGGCACTCCATGCTGGGACCAAATCAGTTGATGTAGAGACTAGCACTGAGCCAACATAAGGCCACTGGATCAATGTATGGCCCAGAATACAAATGGCTTGGCGGTGGATTCAATTCCTAAACACCTGCAGAGTTTTCATACAAAGTCTATTTATTTGGTCTTTGTGTGAAGGGTAAAGAATTTGACCAACCAGTATTATATTGGGATGTATCTATAAGGAGTTACAGTTAATTATGTTTAAATTAAATATGAAACTTTAGATAATTAGGACAATGGCAGATCTACATTAACATATAAGTTAATATACTTTTCAATACAATTAGATATCTAGGTAAACACAAACAATTTTTTGCTAGTTTATGGAAATCACAAGTGGTGGTTGTCACATTAGATGTATAATGCCATATCTTCTGCTGCTATAAATTGATGTAGCTCTTTCTTGCAAGGTTACATAAATACCAGGACATGGGAAGAGAACAGGAATGGTGATGGAATAAGAGGCTAAAAGTGCAATATTCAACATGCAAACCAAGGTCCTTTCTGAGGTCTCACGATCACTTGACAGGCATGCAGCAACAATGCTCATTTTAATTCAGGATTGGGTTTCTCTATGCTGCCTAACCAGTTCAGTGCTTTTTACCTTGGGCTTATTATGCACAGATCTTTGCAACTGCCGTACACAAGAATAAGACTAAAACAGAAAGCAGGTCAAACCCAGAAATAGGCCATTTTAAATGTGTTTGTCAAATTAAAAGAATTCTGTAGATCATTCTGCTGTGCATTCTACATTTAAAAAAGAATCCAGCTGTGGATTAGTATTGTAGAAGCTATTTTATGTTTAGCTAAAAGCCATTTTGTATATCAGAAACCATTTTAGCTTTTTTTTAAGCACGTAGACCAGAGCGAACTTTTTGTTACCCCGTGAGAAGAGGCCTACAGGATGGGCTATTGGTATGTGTTAATTGGGCTGGTTGGGACAGGAGATGTACTTTTTTGTACCTGTTTGCCATCTTGTTAATAAGGCTTTGTTTTTTTAAATTTAATTAAGAATTTTTGTAATTGGATGCCCTAACGTTAAACTGTTTGGCTAAGGGTATAAAAATACTAGAATTGATTGTATTAGCAGCCTTACTGGGCCCGGCTTTGCTGTGACCACGTTTGGCTTATGCTGTGCTTTATTAATTAATAAAGCTGTTTGTTAGTTGCTTAAACAGAAAGGAACAATTAATTAATAAAGCGGTTTGTTAGCTGCCTAAACACAGAGGAGCGTGTTTTTGCTTCGACAATTTGGAGGTTCCACCGAGATTCCTAACGCACCACTTGCCCGTATGGACGGACTGGCACTCCACTTCCAAACCTCTCAGAGCGCTCAAGAGAAGGTAAAGGGGATACCTGTTACGAAATCTCCTGGTTGAGGGCTTGGGATTTGGAGTGACGGCCGGCCATCGGGGTAAGGGGAGCTACGGAATTCAATTTTGTGGAGCGGCTAACATTTTTGTCTGTCTGTGTCTGTCTTTGTCTATTAGGCCTGTCTTATGTGTCACAGTTCCAAAAGGGCACACCGGTGTCTCTAGTGAGGCAGCCATGCGCTGGACCCTCTGTGTTCGGACGCTAAAAGCTGGTGTGGTGCCATTACTCTCTCTCGGCACACGGAACTGTGGGGAAGCTTTGTTGTCTCTCTCTGTTATTTGTGGGCGTAGTACTGACCTCTGAGGCTAACCCCAGGCCATAGTGCCCCATTCTGCCAGGCTGTCTCCAGGAGCCAGGACGTGGTGTTCTGCTAGGCTGGGGCAGGTGCCAAAAACTCCTGCGAGCCAGATGGACTTTGAGTCCAGTGCCTCGCAACCAAAAGGGGGGGGACCAGTGCGAGCAGGTGAATTCTTAATTCAGTATCTCGCAGAGCGAGCAGGCGGATTCTAATTCAGTGACTCGCAGAGCAAGCAAGCGGATTCTGATTCGGTGACTCGCAGAGCGAGCAGGCGAATTCTGATTCGGTAACTTGCAGAAAAAATAGTGTAAGCAGGCGAACTTTTAGTTCGGTGCCTTACAGAATTAAGCGCGCGCAGAAAATGGGGGTAGGTCAGTCTACAGAAATTCCAGTGCCTTTATAATAAAGGCCTTCTGGTATAGAATCCTAATGAAGTCTGATATTAAGTGCCGGATGTCTTAAGGCAGCGCCACTTAATAAAAACACCCATAAGAATTGAACAATACAAAAAGATGCATCTAAATATGAAAACTGTAGAAAAAATGTAAAAAAGAAGAAAAAAAAATTTGTAAAATAAAAAAGGGTGTGTAAAAAATAAGTATAAATGTACTAAGTAAAAAATGAATGCCTCTGCATAGGTCTGAAACTAGAGCTAATCCCAGCTGCACCAGGGCTCTCCCACGAGGGAGCTCTAAACGCAAGGAGGGGGGTCAGCTGAACCTCAAAACTCAGCGGATATGTAAGGGAGTAACAACTCCCCTTATTTCATAAGCTGCTAAGGTCTAACACTCTAGACCCGGCAGACTCTTTCTTTGAAGTTTATAAAGTTAGTTTAGGTGGGAGTTAGTCTAAACACCCCCCCACTCTGCCAAAAGGCACCCCTGTGTACTACATGTACATGCATAATGGTCCAAGGACCTGTAAACATTTAACAAATTTAAAAAAAGAAAAAATTAAAGCCTTAAGGGATAAAAGTAAAGCTCAAAAAAGCAAAAATCCTCCCTGCAGTAAAATAGGTAACTTAAAAGTTGCTGCAGCACCTCTGTGCCAAAATAATGCACAAGAAGTGGAAAAAAAAAGAAAAAAATTTTCTCAGTTGGCACACCGATATCAACCAAGCTTGGGGGGAAAATTTGGCACAACATCACTCCTCTATCCCTCTTTATAACGCATACACAGATAGAGAGGAAATATGAAAAATAACTAAAAGAAATTAGCTCTTCCCTTTGAAAACGGGCTCCTGTAACAAACTTGCCCAGTCCAAAGCAAAACACAAAGTTTAAAATAAGTTTAACAGTTTAAGGAAAGTGTTCCTCCAAATCCTAAGAGGGAGGGGAAAAAAAACGCTCAGATTAGGAGCTGTCCAAAAGGGGAGAGCAACAGGCTTAAGTTAATTGAGTTACTGAATTGAACACCCGATTGTTCCTCAATTGTTAGTAGCTCCCCACAAAGACAATGAAGGTTTGTGTACTGATGTAATGGAGGAGCAGCTCCCAGGGTCTGGACAATAATTGATTGACACTTCCAATTTAAAGGTGCATCTACACAGCAAAGCTTAGCCTGAAATAAGATACCCAAATTGAGCTAGGTCAGTTGCGTAGTTTATTTCGAAATTGGGAGCATCTAAGCAGCACTTATTTCGAAATAGAACACTCTTCCTCAGACTTCCCTTACTCCTCCTACAATGAGGGTTACAGGAGTCGGAGTAAAAAGTCCTCCAGCTTGATAGTATTTCGACATTATTTTGAAATAATGTTGCTGTGTAGACGTACCCTAATAGAATCATCTACAGAAAATACTGTAAATCTGAACAGAGTCTTGTATTAAACAGGCAGGAACAAAGCCCAGAAAGGGGCTTCTCACACTGAAGACCCCGGAAGATGACAATTGTTATGAATTCTAAATAAAATTGAAACAGAGATTGAAACGAGGCACTGAAAATGTACGACACCCTATTTTGCCACAAAGTTAAGCAGAAAGTCCCTGTTTAGCACCTACATGCAGAAATTCATGGAACAAGATAGAAGTTTAATTACTTGGGGGTCCACAAATGATGGTAGTGATTTGGGTATCCAAATTCTATAACTGAAATCTGCAGTGCTATCTAGCACCTGTGATTCCAGGCCTTAAAAGTTATTGACATTCTAATATCTATTGCTTTGATATTAATCTTAGGTTTTGGAAAAGACATCTCCTTGCTGGAACTGTGAATATTCAAAATACTATTTTGAACACATTGCAGCTGAAACGAATAAATATACTAAGAAGGTAACTTACAAAGTGAATCATTTTTCACATTTGATTTGGAGGTCTGGAGTAAACTACAAACCAGGGAGTTATGTTACAACCTCCTCTCTGTTTCTAATCAATACCTATTCTTGATTCTTCATCTAATTTCCTTTTAGCCTTGTATTTCTGTTACCCTGCTACTCAGATCTGTGTTCTTCTGAATGATTTTTGATGATGGTTTATGCAATCATGAGGAATATTTGCAACGTTTTAATTAAAACTTAGTTTTCATTTGTTTAATTTTTTTCTTGGTGCAAAATAAATATGGTTTAAGAGATCATAGTATTCAAAATATACTTATAAAATTCATTAATAATGTTTTTAAGCATCAAATGTTTCATTATAATGTGATCACAAAATACAAGAAATATATGAACAATATATGTTAGATGTTTAGATATGGTAATATACATATTTTAAAAATAGATTATTACTAATTCTTAGCTTTTAAATATATATTTCAATTGCTACATTCATGTTCCATCATTCTGTTTATGTAACTAGAGTTGGCTGGAAACATTCTGACAAAATATTTTTGTTGGAATTTGCTGATTCATTGAAATCAAAACATTTTGAGAGGACAGTTCTATTTTGACAGAATTCCCACAGAACTGCGGTGTGGTTCTGATGGGGAAACCTGCCTGGTTACATGCCAATGTAATACCTCACCAGCCTGGGCTTTTTAGGATCTTAAACTTTGAAAAAACCCACTATGCAGACTTCCTCAGAGCAGCTGTTCCATTTCTTTTTGGGAAGAATTTTGAAACTTTTGGTTTTTCTTCTTTACCAGGATAAAACTGATTTTTTAAATATTGAAATCATCCACAAAGTGGAAGAACCTTTCTTCACCCAAGTGTATATGTAATCTCCCCCTTTCTTTAAGTCCCTTTATCTATGGACTTCTTCCACTGCATCAAATACAACCTATTTGTTTCTACTTTCAAAGCCTTCCACAATCTAGTCACGCCATGCATCTCTGACCTTATCATAGCATCTCTGAACTTGTGTGACCCCATTTTCTGCTTCTCAGACAAGCACTTTCATGCTTTCTCACATGCTGCCCTTTAAGATTGGGAAAACCTCCCAGTCAATAAAAATTAATAACACCACTTCCTTATCCTCTGCTGTGTACATACAGAAAACTACAAACTGATAATGCTAAGGAGGATGTGCGCTGTGATCACTGCTACTGACAAGTGAAGATTGGGACACATTCTGTTACATTTGCTAACTCGTCTCTTACATCACACCCTGGTCCACTTCTCTGTCCCGTTCACATGCTATAGCTCATCTTTTAAAAGATAAACTCTTCAAGATACCAACTTTCACTTATTATATGTTTAAAAAGACTCAGAGCGCTAGTCATGTTAGTCTGTAACTTTAAAAGAAATGAATTGTCCTGTGGCACCTCAGAGACTAACAAAAATATATATAGAATCATGAGATTTCGTGGATAAAAGCCACTTCTCCAGATGAGCCACTCAAGCTCATCTGGAGAAGTGGCTTTTGCCCACGAAAGCTCATGATACTGTATATATTTTGTGAGTCTCTAAGATGCCACAGGATGACTCATTTTTATTATTGTTTCTATCCCCTGCCACTTCATAGTGAATGATAAATAGTAATAATGGTTTCCAGATTATCGTACGGTTGTTCATTGTACTATGAATTAGAATTATCGGCATAAATTATATTAATCACTGAGCTAGGCAGTGAACAATAGGAGTGAGCACTGGCTCAGTGCTACATGACAAGAGTACCTGGAATTCACTCATGTGTTGTTGGCATTTTTTGTTCATTTGACTTTTCAAACATTTTGGGTCTGTCTAGACTACATGCCTTTGCCGGCAGAGGCATGTAAATTAGATATACCGACATAGTCAATGAAGTGGGGATTTAAATATTAAAATAAAAATGGCCACCACATTGTGCTGACTCAGCTGATCATTGGCACAGTGCGGCAGTCAAGACGTGGATTGATCGACAGGGAATGCCTTTGTCGACCGCTCCCTTATGTCTCGTGAAACGAGGTTTACAGGAGTGGTCGACAAAGGCATTCCCTGTCGAACGATCTGCGTCTTGACTGCTGCACTGTGCCGACGATCAGCTGAGCCGGCACAATGCGGTGGCCATTTTTATTTTAATGAAGCCGGGGATATTTAAATCTCCGCTTAATTGACTATGTCGGTATATCTAATTTACATGCCTCTGTGGGCAGAGGCATGTAGTCTAGACAAACCCTTTATGTCATATGTCATATGGCCGGGAGAGTGTTTCCAGTGCACCTGAAGTGGAGAGGGAGGTGCTAAGCCTGTATAGTGCATATTGCTTTCAGTTTGGGACACGGGAAGTGTGAAGACAGGAATGGGTTTTCACTACTCCTTTAAAAAATAGCCTGTGTTTCCTTCAGGGCATGTCTACACTAGGAAATTATTTCAAAATTACTAAAATTTACTTAAGAACTCCTGATTTAACAAATTCGAACGTGCATGTCCTCACTACGGGGAAGCATCAAACTTAGTCCAAGGCAGGTTCCGTTAATGTGGACACGCTACAGATTTAGAGCCACAGGAAGCACTCTGGGGAGATGCAGGAGGCCACCTGGAAGCCAATTAGTTCAAATTAGTGGCACCAGGGCATCCACACTAACATTATTTCTAGTTTACAAGTTCGAAATTAGTGTTATTCCTAATGAAAAGCAGGAGTACCGAGTTTGAATTCCATGGACTGTTATTCTGAAATGATGGTTTGGTAGTGTGGATGTACTGCTTACTAATTTGAACTTGGGTGGAGGGTTATTTCAGACTAAGGTCCTAGTGTAGACCAGGGCTCTAAGTCTAGGGCAATGCTGATAATGCTAAGGAGGATGTGCGCTGTGATCACTGCTACTGACAAGTGAAGATTGGGACACATTCTGTTACATTTGCTAACTCGTCTCTTACATCACACCCTGGTCCACTTCTCTGTCCCGTTCACATGCTATAGCTCATCTTTTAAAAGATAAACTCTTCAAGATACCAACTTTCACTTATTATATGTTTAAAAAGACTCAGAGCGCTAGTCATGTTAGTCTGTAACTTTAAAAGAAATGAATTGTCCTGTGGCACCTCAGAGACTAACAAAAATATATATAGAATCATGAGATTTCGTGGATAAAAGCCACTTCTCCAGATGAGCCACTCAAGCTCATCTGGAGAAGTGGCTTTTGCCCACGAAAGCTCATGATACTGTATATATTTTGTGAGTCTCTAAGATGCCACAGGATGACTCATTTTTATTATTGTTTCTATCCCCTGCCACTTCATAGTGAATGATAAATAGTAATAATGGTTTCCAGATTATCGTACGGTTGTTCATTGTACTATGAATTAGAATTATCGGCATAAATTATATTAATCACTGAGCTAGGCAGTGAACAATAGGAGTGAGCACTGGCTCAGTGCTACATGACAAGAGTACCTGGAATTCACTCATGTGTTGTTGGCATTTTTTGTTCATTGGACTTTTCAAACATTTTGGGTCTGTCTAGACTACATGCCTTTGCCGGCAGAGGCATGTAAATTAGATATACCGACATAGTCAATGAAGTGGGGATTTAAATATTAAAATAAAAATGGCCACCACATTGTGCTGACTCAGCTGATCATTGGCACAGTGCGGCAGTCAAGACGTGGATTGGTTGACAGGGGATGCCTTTGTCGACCGCTCCCTTATGTCTCGTGAAACGAGGTTTACAGGAGTGGTCGACAAAGGCATTCCCTGTCGAACGATCTGCGTCTTGACTGCTGCACTGTGCCGACGATCAGCTGAGCCGGCACAATGCGGTGGCCATTTTTATTTTAATGAAGCCGGGGATATTTAAATCTCCGCTTAATTGACTATGTCGGTATATCTAATTTACATGCCTCTGTGGGCAGAGGCATGTAGTCTAGACAAACCCTTTATGTCATATGTCATATGGCCGGGAGAGTGTTTCCAGTGCACCTGAAGTGGAGAGGGAGGTGCTAAGCCTGTATAGTGCATATTGCTTTCAGTTTGGGACACGGGAAGTGTGAAGACAGGAATGGGTTTTCACTACTCCTTTAAAAAATAGCCTGTGTTTCCTTCAGGGCATGTCTACACTAGGAAATTATTTCAAAATTACTAAAATTTACTTAAGAACTCCTGATTTAACAAATTCGAACGTGCATGTCCTCACTACGGGGAAGCATCAAACTTAGTCCAAGGCAGGTTCCGTTAATGTGGACACGCTACAGATTTAGAGCCACAGGAAGCACTCTGGGGAGATGCAGGAGGCCACCTGGAAGCCAATTAGTTCAAATTAGTGGCACCAGGGCATCCACACTAACATTATTTCTAGTTTACAAGTTCGAACTGGAAGCCAATTAGTTCAAATTAGTGGCATCAGGGCATCCACACTAACGTTATTTCTAGCTTACAAATTCGAAATTAGCGTTATTCCTAATGAAAAGCAGGAGTACCGAGTTTGAATTCCATGGACTGTTATTCTGAAATGATGGTTTGGTAGTGTGGATGTACTGCTTACTAATTTGAACTTGGGTGGAGGGTTATTTCAGACTAAGGTCCTAGTGTAGACCAGGGCTCTAAGTCTAGGGCAATGCCGCCAGCCCTTTCAGGGTTGGGGAGGCTGGGGTCAAGCTCTGCTCATGTGCCAGAGACAGGGGGACTGCACATTGCACACCACCTGCCCTCTGGAACTTAGGGGGCTGTCTGCCTTTCTGTTATTCCTGGGGCCGGAGAAGGCTGGGGCTGCATTTTTCTTGTTCTCTGGGCTGGGGAAGGCTGGGGCTGTGCTCTGCCTACCCTCCCTTAAAGATTCATATTAACTTTAGATACTTGAAGTAACCAGTTGGTTTTTGTTCTGCTGGCCATTGTGTTTTACGTGTGCGCAAAGGCAAGTTTACATTGTTTGCAACCCTGCAATAAATGTGTGTGGAGGGATGAATTTCATGTGGGTGATAAAGACTCTGTTGCTTTTTTTATTGTTTATAATAGATGCTAGAGAAATTGTACTTGGTGATCCTTCCCTTTGCTTTTAATCCCTTCAAAATGGATGGTAGACATGAGCAGTGAAATCTTCTAAATACCGTATCACCAACATGCTCAAACCTTTTGCTCCTACAATTTGTGTCCCTTCTGTTGTGACTGCTGACAATAGGCCAATTAAGAGCTCAGTGTTGTGATGTATTCTGTGATATTAACTTTATTCAGTAGATTTGGATTGAGACTTCATAAGCTACACCACGTGAAATGAGAATATCAGCAATTAGATAGGATTGTTTTCAGTCACTAATGTGGTCATACTAATAACCAAGAGGTGAAAAGACTCTCCACTGTTGTATTGCATATAATCTCTCCTATTTGTATTATGCAGTTTTCATAAGGTGATTTTTAATGATACACTTCTTTATAATTCTATCTTTTGTCTTAGCACACTGACAGATAAACAGACCATCTCAAAAGAATCTCTGACTTATTCTGGGAAGATCCAAGATAAAGAACCCTCAGGTAAGCAAATAAATATTTGTTTGAAAACGTAGATCATTACAACTTGTTTCAGTTGTTCCAGTGACAATAGTGACTGAAGAAATTCTGATATTGTGCATAATTTATTAAATAAGGAAAGACACCTGAATTCAGAGTGAAATTTACATTGATAGTACATTATGAATAGTGGTAGCAGCTCCATATTTAAGGTCTGATTGAGGGATCTTTTTCTAACACTCTTTTCTGATACTCTTTTTCTATCTCTACTAGTATATTCTTGAAAATTGTACTGAATAAAGTTTAAGGCTGGGTGTGATGTGCATAGCAGATGAGATGGTGGATGGTAGTGAGTGATGAAAAATGAAAATAAAACTTGAACTAAGGTAAATCAAAGTGACTCAAAAGTACTAGATCTATGTAAACACACGTGATCTGTCCAATTTTACCAGGCTCTAGAATGGCCTTCATCTGTTTTAAGAATATTACTACATAAAAGTGAAGAATCGCACAAGGGTCCCCTGATAGCTTTGCCACTGTAGCCTGTTTACAAGCTTTAAAAGAAAAGGAACCCTTGTAGGATTCTCTGTGTTAGGCAATGCCACTAATATCTAGACTGCATCCTCCCTCGAAAGAGGAATGCAAATGAAGCAGATTGAAAATTCAAATGAAGTGCGGGTTTGCAAATCTCATGCTTCATTTGAATAACCACGTTTTGAAAAAGGGGGTTTTAAAAAAAACAACCTGCAGTCTAGATGGGGTTCTTTAGGAAAAAAAAACCTTTATTGAACCTGTACTCCTCATTTTTTCAGAGGGGGTATGTCTTAGGCAGGTCGACATTGCAAATGAAGCAGGGATTTAAATATCCCGTGCCTAATTTGCATAAAAATGGCTGCCGCATTTTGCTGACTCAGCACTTTGTCGGCAAAAAATGGCAGTCTAGAGGGGGATCTGTCAAGAAAGAAAGCCTTTTTCGACAGATCCTGTAAACCTCCTTGCAGGAGGCATAAGGGATCTGTTGAAAAAAGCTTTCTTTCTCAACAGATCCCCTCTAGACTGCCACTTTTTGCCGACAAAGTGCTGAGTCGGCAAAACACTGTGGCCATTTTTATGCAAATTAGGCATGGGATATTTAAATCCCTGCCTCATTTGCAATGTCGATCTGCCTAATCTGCATCCCTCTGCCGATAGAGGGATGCAGTTTAGACATACCCAGGGAGTAATGCAGTCTAGATGAGCCCTAAGGTGTGGAAATGGCTGTGCTCCACAGAAATCTTGTATGCCGATTTTTAGCTACAGAAAAGCCATTCTAAAGTCACACAAAAGGCTTTTTTTTCTTTAACAAAGACCTGGACATGTGGCAGATTGATTCTGTAAAGGAGATCGGAAACCAGAAAAGTCAAATGTGGTCACTAAATATCCAATGTTCAGCGTTGAGAAGTATTTCATTGGATGTTTTGGGACATACATTATATATGTAAATAGTTATTAAGGTTTAAATACAACCAATACTTAGAACATGCCTAACATTAAGCATGCATTGTCCAAGCACCTTCATTATTCAGTCTGCCCTGTCCACACGGGGACCTTATTTTGAAATAACCCCCACAAGATTGAATTTATAAGTGGTGCATCCACATTACCAAGCCCATTATTTTGAAATCACAGGCTATGAAATTTGAATTCTGTACTCCTGCTTTTCCTCAGGAGTAACATAAGTAAGGTTGCCAGATACTTTCACAAAAAATCCCAAACATGGGGGAGAGGGAAGAGGGAGGGGAAACCTGGGGGACCAAACCTGTTGAGCAAAAAAAAAAAAAAGTTGCTGCACCTTTAAATTCTTTAAATTCCCCCGCTTCCTGCTCCTTCTGCCCCTGCCAAGTGCGGCAGGGGAAAAATGTCCCTGCTGAATTTCTGTTCAAGAAAAACAGAAAATACCAGTATTTTCTGGGGTTTTTTACCGGACAGAAGATGCAATTACTGGACACCTGGCAACCCTAAACATAAGAATATAAGAACAGCCATCTGGCCCAGTATACTGACTGCTGACAGTGGCCAATACCAGGTGCGCCAGAGGGAGTGAACTGAACAGGCAATGATCAAGCGATTTCTCTCCTGCCATCCGTCTCCACCCTCTAACAAACAGAGGCTAGGGACACCATTCCTTACCCATCCTGGCTAATAGCCATTAATGGACTTAACCTCCATTAATTTATTTAGTTCTATTTTAAACCCTGTTATAGTCCTCACAACCTCCTCAGGCAAGGAGTTCCACAGGTTGACTATGTGCTGTGTGAAGAAGAACTTCCTTTTATTTGTTTTAAACCTGCTGCCTATTAATTTCATTTGGTGACCCCTAATTCTTATATTGTAGGAATAAGTGAATAACTTTTCTTTATTCACTTTTTCTACACCAGTCATGATTCTATAGACCTCTATCATACCCCCCCCCCTTATTCTCCTCTTTTCTAAGCTGAAAAGTCCAAGTCTTTTAAATCTCTCTTCATATGGGACCTGTTCCAAACCCCTAATCATTTTTTTTGCCCTTTTCTGAACCTTTTCCAATGCCAATATATCTTTTATGAGATGAGGCAACCACATCTGTATGCAATATTCAAGATGTGGGCGTACCATGATTTTATATAGAGGCATTAAGATATTTTCTGTCTTATTCTCTATCCCTTTTCAAATTATTCCTAACATTCTATTTGATTTTTTGACTCTCATTGCACACTGAGGCTACGTCTACACTGCAGGCTTCTTGCACAAGAACTTTTTGCAGAAGAGATCTTCCACAAAATGTTCTTGCGCAAGAGCACGTCCAAACTGCCATTTGCTTTTGCGCAAGTGATGTGCTTTTGTGCAATTGTGTGTCCACACTGCCATGAATGCTCTTGCGCAAGAATGCTCTGATAGCCATTCACAGAATGGCCATCAGAGCACCTGTGCTTTTTCCAATAGGGGTTTCTTGTTGTCCGTCCACACACGCTTTTTTGTGCAAGAGCTCTTGCACTAAAAGGCTTATTCCTCATAGAAAGAGGAATAACTGTTGTGCAAAAAGTCCTGTCTTCTGATGATCTACTGTACTTTTTCTCGCACAATAACATGCTTGTAGTGTGGACGCTCTGCGAGTTTTTGCACAAAAATAGCTGGTTTTGCACAAAAACTCTGCAGTGTAGACTTAGTCTGAGTGGATATTTTCAGAGAACTATCCACAATGACTCCAAGATCTCTCTCTTGTGTAGTTGTAGCTAAATTAGTCCCCATTATATTGTATGTATAGTTGGGATTATTTTTTCCAATGTGCATTACTTTACATTTGTCGAATAGTGATAAAAATGTAGCCGTGTTAGTCTGGTGTAGCTGAAACAAAAAACAAGACTAACAAGATGGTTTATTAGATGATGAGCTTTCGTGGGCCAGACCCACTTCCTCAGATCAAACAGTGGAAGAAAACTGTCACAACCATATATACCAAAGGATACAATTAAA